TTTTTTATTAGTTTTAAATGCAGGTCCCACATATATCCCATAAACTTCTCATTTAAAATTTGATTTTAATACAACAAAGTACTTAAAAAAATATGGCTGTTGCCAATGACCTAATACAATCATCAATATGATCGGTTGCTTCAAGTACAACCAAATAAATAGTTGTACATAAGTGTACTATGATCTATCTATTTAAGCAATTAATTATTCTTGAAGTTATTATGCACCTAAGTGAAAATGATCCATATATCTACTACATTTATACTCTAGATTTTATCTATGATTTAAAGTACAATATAAATAACTAACAATCAATATTACCCCCAATAAATTTAAATTTAAAAAACATTTATTACTAGTTTATTATAGTGATTGATGAGTTACCAAAATTCAAAAATAAAGTTCTAAAATTAAGGTTGTAATAGTAAAGGGCAATTTTTTTTAATAATAATGGTGGGCCAAATGGGTCTCAGTCCACTTTAGCTCTACCTATAGGTAGCTCTACTGCGTATAATATATTGTTCCGAATATGAGAAGAAATAGCGCTTCTGGGACACCAGTTAGGAATTTAATTTAAGATTTCTGAGCCTACCCTGGTAACAAAAAATTAATTTTCTAAAAGTTGAAAAATAGAAAAAAGATGGTGGACAAATTTTATGTAATTTAGTTGAAGTCCGGAGTAATATTGGTGAAACCAGGAAGTATAACAAATATTGATAGCACATCATATAGACTAAAGACTACCAAGTTTAACAAGAATTGTTACTCTTTTCATAAGTCACAAAATCATACACTACTATGTAACATCAACATTTAGTTCAAAACAACTCTTAAACAATTAACTGGTTAATCATTATCCAATATACTTAGGTCCCTTACAAAATTAGTTTTAAATAAGTTGTATACAGTTATTTCAAACTAAGTACCAGTTATATTAACAATTAGGTTGTGTAAGAACCAAGGACAATATTTTGTCCGTAAGAAAAAATACTTATACTCCATTCCATGAGAGAATTGGATCATCCACCGACCAAAACCAGTCATCGGCTCCTTATAACCCATACTGTGCCGTATAATGATGGTTATGTAGAGAGGATTTGACGGTCTTGGCGATCTTTGGATATGTGAGAAAAGATTCCTGTTCTATCATGGAACAAAGTATAGACAATTTAACTACCGTACATTATAAGGTATATTATGATATGAATTTGAAGTGTTTAACACTGATAAAAAGGAATTTAATGTAACATTTATTACTATCTTTGTCTATTTCATATAGATACCCTACATATCATATAGTAAAGTATTTATAATTAAACAGTTTAAATTAAGAAAATATAACTAACTATAATAAGTAACAAGTTACAACTAATAATTGATGCACCTTTTACATTAAACTTGTATACAATGTATAATGCATACCATGATAAATTATTGTCTTATCCTAAAATTTAAAATATCATTAATAGTGTACCTACCTAAATTACCTACATTTTCTGATATAAACCATACCATATTAATATATTATGGGTGAGAAATTCATTGAATGAGGATTTTGTTAGTGACAACATTTTTTTAAATGTTTTGCTTTCCTCTAAATATTAACTTATTAAATAACATATTTTTAATGAAATAGGTATATTTTAGAAATTAAAAAGAAAATAAAGATATTTAATACAGCTAATGCAAGCAGTATAAAAATGTATTTAATATTTAAATGTAATAATTATACATTTTTGTATGTTTACGGCCAAGGAAATACACTAGGTTGTTATTGATAAACAACGCTTAAATGCAATATTATTTTATCAATAAGATACCTACACGTCAACCATAAATCTAAAAAAATGAAAGCCGAGTAATTATGGGTACTCATAGGTAAAATAGTGTACAACAGTTTGTTAGTAAAAAGGTTTCCTATTTATTGTAGGAATTTGTATACACTAAATTATATTACATTAAATGTGTATCGATAGTTCCAGTAAAAGTTAAACACATTATAGAACATAATATTACATAATATTGTCCTTTAAAAAATATATATTTTACACAATTAGGTAAATAGGTAGTGGTTAGATGAGTGCCTGATACACTCGGTAATATATGATACTGTAGTTCAGTTTTCTTTAGTTCAAAATCTTTTTCAGAACTATTTAAAATAATTATTAGGTATTATTTTTTATTTATACACATAGGTGATTAGAAATAATGTTAAAATAATTTACCTAACTATCAATTTTAGCATTTTGTTGAATAATTAATGTACCTACTTAACATAAGCTATGTTAATGTTAAATATTTTATATTTATCAAGTACCAAATATTTTATTCTGTAACTTAAATAATCATGTAGGTTACCTACTTTTTTATTTTAACACTATCAAAATATTCACATTCAGTCTACACTATTTGATAAGACAAATGTATTACTTAACTATGTTCCTATTGACAGTGCCGGTGCTAGGAGGCCCTGGACAAGGTTTAGCCATTAGGTACCCTAGAGAAGGGTAAAATTCTAGATTTTTTTAAATCAGGATTTAAAAAAAAATATTTTTTTTTTTTTTGGAATTTTTAACATTGCAAATAATAATATTAGGGTATTCTTATCCTTTTTTTTTATTACAATGTGTTATCACAAAATTATTTACAAATAATAAAATAATAGCTAATTAGGTACATACAACAACAATATTATATAATTGAGGTAAGAACATATTATGAATTTTAGTTACCTAATCAAATAAATATTTTAAGAATATCGCTCTTGTCCCTTCTATAATACTGCCATACAGAAGTACAGAAATAAACAGAAAGCCTTTTCAAATAAAGAACAGAGAAAACAATAACTAAAGAGATAATAAATATTTATTGTAGGGATCCTATCTGACAGGTATCGTCAAACTATTACTCTTTCGTTGTATTGATGACGATTTACTTTGTAGTTAAAATTAAGCTAAATTTTTTTGGCTAGTTTTAAATATTGTTTTCCAAATAACTAGTGATAGGAATAATATTAATATAATACATATTGTGTGATGTGTAGTATAGAATAATACATTTATAGATTTATAATTTGTTAATGTAATTGTTTAAAATCTCGTTGGGTCTTATTGTATTAAGATGATACTTAAAAATTGCGAGGTCCTGGACAAATTGTCCCATTTGTCCACCCCAGCAGCGGCATTGCTTATTGATAGCTAATTTAAAAATCATATTATTGAACAAAATGAACTTGATTAAAAACAAATATATGTATACATGTACTTAATATATACTTATATTGCCTTCTAAAATGAAGTACTTAGGTACCTAAATAATTAGTAGGTAAAAACATGCCTACTAGAACATAAAATGATAGTTATATTAATACCGAGGTTAATACTTATGTAAAAAAATACAATGATATTTTTGATAACATACACTTTAGTTGCTTTATTCCTATTAATCTTTCAACTTAATAATCATTACATTTTTTTGACAAAAATCAAGTAAGAGTTAGATTCTAACTCTAGAAAAAACTACCAAGGTAGAATGAAATAAAACTAGTTATTTATTATGGTTATTAATAGAAAGAAATATGTATACCTACATGCTTTTACTTTAGCCTTTACAACTTTTTTTGTTGAATTACCTACATTTTTTTAAAACCAATTTCGGATATTACTACTATGTATCTTTGCATACCTATTATATGAACTATAATATTATGATAGGTAGAGGTTAATATTAATATTTATGTTCATTGTATAATGTTTTTAATAATTTGTTCTTATTATATCCGTATAGGCTATTACCAAGGCCTAACTTATATAGGTACATAGTTAATTAAGTTTAGGTATACCTAAATCATTTTTTTTTTAACCAAAGAGTTAAGGATCTATCTAATTTTGTGATTCCGAAAAAGTAGATGTACAAAATTGCTGATGATGATATTAGATACAAATAATTAAAAATAAAATATCAGTTAAAGATATTGAAATTGATTTCATCATTGTAGTTTAATAAGATAAAAAGGAAGACATAATTGGGTCATATTATAGCTTTGGATATTTCGAGGGATATTTATTAAATAATAATGCAAAAATTCTTTAAGGTATTTATATAGGTATAAGAGTCCTAACCTAAATATTTTAATTTGACTTCAAAACCGACTTTATTAAGAGTTGTATAGATAATTCAATTGTTTATATGTCATACAGGACGCATACTATTAGTATTGATGTATTACCTAGGTAGCTATAATAGCTTAACTTATAGATTTCAGTGAAAAGAATAGGCATAAGTAAGAAGCCATACTCAAATAAGTTTAGGTATTTAAGATTACAGTTACCCAAGTAATTATTTAAAGTTTATAATATTATAATTAAAAATATAGGTATCTATTAGGTATACCTACCTTTAACACTAAAACAACCATAAACCTAATCAATATTATTGATATCAATAAATATAAAAACAGATTTGATATTTTCAATATTATTGATGTACCTAGGTACAGACATCCAATACAATCAATACACGGTCAAAAATATTTTAGTCAAAAGGCACTTATCATGAGCATCCAATAAAAAATTTTTTTTCCTATCGGTGCTATACAACTGAGTAATGACCAACAATGATTTAATAGGTAATATTACAGACTTTCGCGAGTCGTACATAGATTGGTTTTAACTCCTCAGTTTTAAACTTTTTTTATAGAAATTGTGGCACAAGTGGGTTTTTATTGAACGTTCTCAATAGTAATACCTAAATAGGAATAAATATCATATATTTTGTAGGTAGAATTTTATAAAATGGTAAAATGACCTACTCATCAAAGACATACAAATTTTAAACCTACCTAGATGACTAGGACATGAGTTTAGGTACATGAGAGGCATACCGACAGACACATCTAAGAGGCGGTGTTGACCTATGTGTCTATCAGCGGGTCGGCTTAGAATAGGGATAATGAATGGCTTGCTTCATAGCTGCCAAGGGGGTAAACGGTTGGTACTTACCGAGCAACAGGAGTTTGAGCTCTCGCCGGGCGTCCCTCTTGTCACGCCGCAGCTGTCGTTCGATCTCCTGGTTGATGCGCTTCTGTTCCTTGGCCTCCTCAGATAGGCAACACGCCATTTCAGCGATGACAGTAGCAGCACCTTGCGGCCCGGTCCACCACGACGACGGAGGACAGTGGGCTGCCGCAGCGCGTCCGTTATTACCTGCTGCGCTGTCCACCCGCCGTACTCACCACCACCACCACCACCAACGCGGCCAGCAGCAGCAGACACCTCGTGCCACTCCACAGTGACCCGCAACGCGCCGTGCCTCACCAAAAACGCACAGTGCGTGTGGGTGGGTGTGTGCGTCGTCGTCGTCGTCAAACACAACGACTCTGGCCGTCCGTCACCCTCCTAGGACGGCGGCGACAACCGGCGGCACGCCATCGTCCGTGTACACATATCTGGTGGTGCCGGTGCTGCCGGCGTGGTGGCGCTGATCCCGGGTGGGTAGTCGTCGGGCCAGTGGCTGTCCGTGGGTATCCGGCGACGAGAGAGATCGGTCGCACGAAAAAACAAACGCGGCTCGCACACGCACACACACACGGGCACACACACACACACTCGCACACAAAATCGCTATCCGTCGATGGGCGACGGCCGCACACACGAGTGGAAAAACGACACGAGCGCGCGCGCACACACTTACCGCGGGAGGGCTGCTAAACGAGAGCAAAAAAAAAAAAAATGCCAAGGCGATTTTTCGCGCGTTCGATTCACCACAAAAATATAATACTATTATCTACATCACTCGTCCACACATAATATACGTGTGCGAGTGTTATATTATTATAATATTATACGACGACGTGTATAATACGTGAGTGTGTACGAGTATGTGTGTGTGAGTGTGTGTGGCCGTGTGGGTACGGCGATATCTCGCACTCGGCTGGGGCGGTCGTCTCGCCGGCGCGCGGCTGGGTGTGGTGACGGCGGCGGCAGCAGTGTGCGCGCGCTAGAGCGAGAGTGAGAGAGCGGGTGAGCGAGTGATGACGTTGCGGCGGTGGTGAGGCGAATATATTATACGTCTGAGTGTGTGTGTGTGTGTGTGTGTGTGAAAATGTGTGTGTACACGATCCGGCGGCCCGTGTGCAGCAGCTGATGTGAAACGGTCGACCGGAAATTTTAATCTACACCACCGCCGTGCACGAGCGGCAGCAACAACAACAACAACAGCAACTACTACCACACTCGTACCGAGCGCACGGGGGGCTACTGAACGCCACCACCGTACCGGTATGCCGAACGATGTTGTACGTTAACGTTTCGACGACGCGAACCGTACACTGGTGACGGAAAAACGGCGACGCGAACGGCCGTTGTGCACTGTGTGCAGTACAAGTACTCGCACCGAGTACCTCGACCGACGACGACGACACTATACCAGCACTCCGTCCGTCGACCGTTGTCGCTGTTGTGACTTGTGTGTGTGGCGTGTGTTGTTGTGTTTTTTTCGCTCTTTTTCTCTTTTTTACGCGCACGCACGCACGCACACACACACACACGAGCACGCACGCGATGGCCCGCTGCTGCTGCTGCTTGGTGCCGGTGCCGGTGCTGCTTGGCGCTAGTGCCGGTCGTCGGCGCGGCCCCTTTATTATCCTGTTAGACTTAATTCAATTTTAAAGAAGCCAATCATTTCTGACAAGAGCGCCGCACTGCATTTCGTAGTTTCGTAATTCGTTATTAACGAGATTATAGATGCGCGCACACTCCCGCGAGTACACGCCATACAGGCTGCATTACAGACGCCCATTTCTGTACTTTACAGCGGTGGCGACATCTGTTGGTCAAAAATATAACGGGCCGGTTTGATTTTTTTCGTTTCCGGGGGACGAAATTCGGCGACCAAACGGTCTCCCCCCCTCTCCAACCCGACGGTAATCAAAAACCAACGACGGCGGCGACGCAGGATGGACCCGAAAAGCGCGAAACCTCCGTGACGCGATGTTTAGTTGTTTGGTGCTGGGTGTTGGGTGGGTGGCTGGATGGGCGGAGAGGAAGAGGCTATGCGGACCGCCACATCACGCGGCGGTCGATACCCGAAAATTCCACGAGTGCCACGCCGTGTCGCGTCGGCGTCGTCAGTCGTCACCGACCGTCGAGCGGCAGTTGCATCGATTTTCGTCCCGCCGCCCCACCTCCCTCCTGGCCGCTGTAACCGGGCAACAGACCGAGCTTGAACAGCGATTCCTCTGTCCGCCGCACAGACACCGCGACACTACCGGGGGAGGGAGAGGGCGGGATTTTCGGTCGTTCACGACGGTCACACTGTTACACCGCCGCGGTAGCTGCAGCAGCTGCTGCTCGCGAGTCGCGACGCGCCGGACAGGACGTCGGCGCATTCGCGCGCCCAACGAACGGCGGCAACGTTTCGCCCGGTCGCGGCGCGCTCTGGCCAAAGCTCCGTCGGCGGGAAATTCAAACGACCCGAAATACGCATCTTCCGCGATTGACGTTATAACGGCAGTGTCGGATTCGACTGACTCAATACTTAAATTTTAAATTATGCAGATTTAGAAGTACTTGCCACCACCCCAAAATATATGCTCCAATATACATTATTTACTTTTTACAAAGGTATAGGTATGATGTAAATATAATGTGACTGAAAGAGATCAGGACGTGGTCGGATCCAAGCATTAGAGTTCGGCGTTACTGCCAACACCCGTTTGAAAAATTGACTCAACTTTTCGGCCTGTCACTGAGCTACAGTGTTATATAACACTGTTTTTTTATAATTAACTCATAGGCCGGTATCGACACATCGATGATGGCATTGGTGTAATAAGGAATTGGTTCTGGGGAGGGGACATACGTTTTTACAATTGTAATTGTCACATCCCATCATGTCAAATTGTGTAACTGTTACATGCTTTTACATGATTCTTATGTAAATTTAACAAACTATCATAACTTTGTAGGTACAGGTAAATAAATACACGATCAATATGACCTATATAACTATATATGTATATATAAAAAAAATAACGTGCTTATAGAAATAATTGTTTTGCCAGATTGAATAAGTCCAGAGCGATCAGTTCTGCCTGTATAATTTTTTTAATATCCCTTAAAATGTACCTATATTATCATTTGGTATTCCAAATTTATACTAGAATTTATGATAAAATTATAAATAAAAAATGTAGTGCATTTTTTTAGGTCATTATTCAAGATTATTAATCGTGGCATTTTATTTAGGGCATCAAAATCGCAGGCCTTATTATTGTGTAATTTACAAAAATAATAATTATCAACAATATTAATACCGCGTTGCATAAAAAATTGATTAAATTTAATGGTCCACTAATAAGTAATGGACCAATCATGGACCACTGTATCTTATTTAAGGGGCCATTAGTTCACTATTGATTCATTAAATGTTTAGTCTTAGTGCAGCCCGACATAACAGTTTCAATTTAGTCTGTGCTCATATTAAGAAAGTATAAGTTCTGGGTGATTAAAAATGATATCAGAAGTCATAAGTTGTGAATTTTTATCAGTTGTTCTTTTAACTGTGTTACTGGTTTATTTTAAAATCTTGAAATATTTTATAGCCAAGTGTTCATGAGAATTTAATCACAGTTACCTATTTAAAAAAAATTACGCCACCTGGATAATGGTCGTAGTAATTTGGTTATTCACTCATTACTTGTACTTTCAAACGCGTCCGACTGTACACATAACAACTACACTACCTACTTCATTTTCATAACAAACGGGTATAATGCTGCGTATAAAAGCCGAGTGCTGTCTTTTGTTTGTTTGGAGAAAAAATAAATAAACCATTTAGCATACGTGAACAACATTACAATATTATTGTAATATAATCACGCATAAAGTCGTTTCAAAATTGTACGGATATACCTAAATGTGAAAAATATATTATTTACTTTAACGACTCAATGAAATAGAATATTGTGTAAGCTCAAAGCTGTATAGGTACCTACCTCATAACGTATGCAAGTATTTTTACTGGGATGGATTAGTGATTACCACGATTATAATTTTAAAACAATTATAATATTCTAAAAAGAAACCATATAGGTATTAGGTACCTAGGTAGTAGGTATATTATATAAAACTCGTGCGCGGGATTAGAAATAGAATACTTAGAAAAAAAAGGTGACCATCTATATTCAAATTTATTGTAGAAACATGAATGGTATTAATGATTTAATTATTACCACGGTTCCTGCAGTGGCAGCTACAGAGTGACATATATATGAGAGGGGTAGTACTGCTCATCCCCTCTCTTCCGATTGGTTTTTTTTTTCAGTGATATTTTCATAACATTTTTCATTGAAAATTGGTTGTTATTGGCGTTTTCAAACTGTGTGACATAGGTAATATTATACATTTTATTTCTATTTTATTACAATATAGGGATATTGTAGTATGTATATACTGTGTAGTCTGTATACTTAGTTTATTATTTATTCCATGATAACATATGAAGGGTACAGGAGAAAAGGGTAGTTGTCCATTTTTACTGATTTTGATTGTATGATTTGATTTGATAGCACATTAGCTAAGTTTAAGATTAATATGGTATTGGTTTGTTAAGCTCCGTCACGGCGAGTGAAAACTTTAGAGCCCCGCCACTCAGGTTTGTTATAGCCCCGTCATCCATATAATAATAAATACATCGTATGAATATAAAATAATGAGTTCATTTATTGATATTATAATGTTTATAATAAGAAGGAAAATACGTGCTATTACTTTTAGGTACCCGATAATCAATATTATAACAAACCGATACACCGATATTGACATCATTTTTTTAGACTCATACGTGGCGGAATTTATTTGGCAATCAAAACTAAACAATAATGGTGATTCTTTGACACTATCTTAAAAGATATAGTAGAATTTTGGGAGTCACAGAAACCATAACTTTTAACGTTATAAACATTTTTATACATTTTTAAATTCATCATTGTTTTAAAAGTATGATTATTTCATTTTTCAATTTTAGTTTTTTTAATATTATATCAATATACCTATCATCGAATTGTTAGATTAATATCAATAAATAAACTCATTATTTTATATTTATATAATGTGTTTATTGTTATATGGATGGAAGGGCTATAACAAACCAGTACCATAATTATATTGAGTGTTGAAATCGACTCTGTGAAAAATCATTCAATCCGTCATTACTAAAGAAAAATTAAGTATACTATAGACTATAGTGAAGAAAGATTGTAGTTCAAGCGGTTATGGGGAAAACAGGTTGAAGTCCAGAATATCTATTTATTTAAAAATAAAAATAAAAAAGATTGCAATCCTCATGAAGTCTATACTTTTTGTTTCGATATGTTTCTTTTTTTCATAATAATCATTCAAATTTTTAATTTATTCTAATTCACTACTTTTCGAAGTTAATACATTTTACTAAAATAATAATTCATTAAGCGTCTTTTTTGTTCAATTGTTAGATGTGTAGAAACCTATAAACTTTGTTTTGCTCTCCTGAAAAATTTACAGAAATGGACTACTACCGTACTACTTTACATGTGTTTAAGGTTATGACAGTTTGTTTCATTTTTTAATATATTATATATATAATTATATACTATTAACATGACCATCGCGCTTGTTGTAATATTAAATTAAGTATTAAAATAAAGTTTTTTTAAATACAAATCCGTTTAAATCGTATTTGTATCAGTCAGATATTACAGACAAAAACAATTTTTTTTTCAAATGTTCCATTGACAATTCAATTATAATTATGTTAGTTAAAGAAATATCTATTTTTACCTTTGACCTCACCACACAAATTGTGTTAGTTGTAATCTTTTAAAGCTTTCGAATTGTCAGGCTTCATCAAGAGGATTTCTGAAAAATTAAAACTATTAAATTCCTTAAGGTCACTGTTTGGCGTCCTGGTGACTCAAGTGCTGTAGCACAACTAGCCCAGGCATTTTGTTGGGGAGGAGATAAAGTTCCTCCATAAATTTTCTTAAAAAGTAACCCGATGGGGCTCTTCTCCCCATCCTTATGATATTATAAAAAATAAAAATAAATGTGTTCTTTTTACTTAAGTATAGTTTTAATTTTATTATTACTAACGAAACGGTTCACGACTTGTTTTAAGTCTAAGTTAAGTCATTTAAAGTCAGATGTATTATAATTTACCAAGTTTGTGAAAAGGTAAATAAGTACATAATGTACTCTAGCTAATACAAAATATGGACTATATCTAATTAGAATATAAAAAACGTGAAAATAATAAATAAATACACATTAAAAAATACTTTATTAAACATATAAAGATTACAACATGTCTTATGTCTTATGCACTTATGAATATTTATATCCATTGCGCTACGATATCGTTAGCATTGGTGTTGACTGTTGAATATGTGACGTACAACATATTTTGTGTGAGCAATAATATGTTAAATGCTTTATATTTTCATTTTAAATTGGCATAATATGAGTTT